ACATGCATCGTTGCGCTACCTGAGAATACTTTATTGTACCTCCAGAAAATACAAAGCGATTCAAAAAGTGTGGCATACATATGAGGTAGTGAGCGATTGCCTATGTATCAGTGAGTGGTCACGTTCTTAAGTGGCCGTGTCCGTGTATCACACGTACACGAGAGTGCGCATGTACCACCCTATCTAAATAAATAGCAATTTTTACACATAACTCAAAACTTCAAATATAGAAGTCAATAGGATATACTTATTCAAAATAAATGAATCTAATTATAATATTATTATAATTATTATGATATTATTATTAATTGATAGTTTTTATCGACGATTTTCGACAGCGCATATCTTCTAAACAAAAAGAGATAACAACCAGAAAATTATAGATTATGGAAGATTGGAAAATGGAAATCGAAGAGATGAAAATTTAATTTTGAATTTAATTTAAAAAAAATCAAAATGTTTGCAGCGCAAATCAAAGCAAAGTAAAAGAGTAACAAAACATAACAAAATAGCATTTTTATTTTTAATCATGTAAAACAACTGGCGACCAGCCCGGAAAGCCGCCAGAAGATCGAGAACATAGCCGACGGCAGTTTAAATCTTTTTTATTTATGCGTTAAACAAAAACGAAACAATGTATTGAATTCGTAATGCAAATAAACGATAGGTGTTGCCACAGCGACATAAATTATTTATGTGCTTAAAGACCACGCGGTTAAAGTAAAAACAAGTAAAGTCAATTAATAAATCACTTTGATTTGCATATGCCTGATGAAATGCGAGAACATACCTTGATGCAAAATAAATTTTTGCGTTTTGTCATATCCAATAACTTGCAAGGACCTTATTTATTCACATTATAAGAATGATGAAATACATCACTCACGCTTTACCTCCACGTATGTACAATCAGCGTTTAACGAACGCTGCACATCACTCGCGCACAATCGCGAAAAAGCATAGAAATTTGTATTACGTGACAATGTGAGGATAAATTAAAGAACTCAAGAATAATGAAGAAAATGTGCGTGCAGATCACCTGACGACAAAACTGAGACTAACGTGGTACACTAGCCAACCGCGTGGCAATCGCACAAAAAAAACGAGATAACAGAAAACATGTTTGTAAACAGTGATACTTTCAGTGTGGTAGTGCAGAACATGAGAAGAATTGTACTCGTATTATGCATGGAACTTTTAATTACGATTATTGTCTGAATCGGTCACTATTATTGCAAAAACTGCATTTGATGAAATATATATCGACATAAAAATTTTGAAAACACGGCGAGAACAACCTCGTGTATTTAGTGAACTAATTTCTCTACGCCAGAATAGAGCAGGGAGTCCCTCTACATATTGCACTGCCTCCAACCTTCCAGAAAAGACGAAAAAGTAATTGCTTAATTTTAAAGCAAACCATTCATTCAACCATATTATTTTAAATAGAAAAAATTTCAAAAGTTATAAAAACGAAAAATCACAAAAATATCAGCTCAGTCGTGCCTGAGTCGTCCAGCAGTCAATCGCAGCCCTTAAGGTTCCATTTTCTTCGGTTGTGACTCTTTTCATACCCTGTGTTGTCGTAAACTGATCATACCAAATCAAGTGAGGGTCCCTCATATAAATAAACAATAGTTGAAATCGGTCCAGTTTTTAAATCTTAACGAAATTCATGAATAACAAATCATTTCTATATAAATATAGTTTACAAATACGCAGTTGTTAAATATTCATATAGCCATAACAACATCCCTGAAGGCAATCGATGTAATTGCTTTCTGATGACCACAGTACTCCCGTTCAATTTTACCTGTATTTACATTCCATAATCTCGCAGCGTTATCAGAAGACCCCGTAAATAGATACATTGAGTCGGCGCTAAAAGCCGCATCCCAAACCCATCTTTGGTCGTTGTGTCGAAGCTCTTGCACTAAAGAATAGTCGCTGGTCTTAAAGATTTTCGCCGAATGATCTGCCGATGTCGTGACAAACATGCTGCAAGACCAATTAAGTCAGTATGAAATAAAATAACATAAACTATTCATCATTATATTTACCTAGAATTTGGGCTGAATTTGCATTTCAGCGCATGTCGCGTGTGTGGTTCGAACACCTTCAATGGTTGCAGAATTATAGGCTCATCACCTTCACCACCCACCAGAGACCAAATGTAACATTTGCCTTTTGAGTTAACAGCAGCTAGGGTAGTACCAGTTGGATTAATGGCCACATCAAGGATCATACTATCTCCATCAGGAATCTGAAATTTGTTTCACAGTATATAAATTTATAGACAGACCTCAAGAAAAATAAAAGCTTGACAATCTAAACAAACAAACTCAGCTTACAACTTACATATTGTAATGCAGCATTAGTCCTCATATCCCATGAATGTATAGTTCCGTTTTGATCACCAATAATAAGTTCTACTTGATTAGGATGCAACTTGACACTGGTAATAGGAGCATTCACATCATACGAGTGTGAAATATTCGTTGATCGCTCGACGTCCCATATACGTACCTTTCCATCTTCACCACCAGAATACATCCATGAACCTCTATTATTAAATCCCACACAGGTTATATTCTTAGATACACCCTCATAGGTGATTATAGCAGTTGGAGTATTTGATCCCAAATCATACATTCGAATGTACTGATAACTCGCAGCAGCAAGTAAGTTGCGATTTGGTGTGATTTCTAACATATTTACTTGCTGGAAACATACATGAACATTTAACATCTAACATAAGATTTTCTACTGATAACTTACTGATTCGGAATGTTGCATTGTGCGCTGACAAATAGCACTGTGTGTCTGCCATAATTTTATTGTGTGGTCGTAACCAGCCGTCGCCAATATAATTTGTTCGTTCTCCGGAAGCTGTTGATCTCCCGTCATCGTCATGTTTTGTTTACAACCAGATAAAACAAGAAAAATTCTTAGGTTATGTTTTACACCAAGAGGTCGGCAAAGTTCGGTAAAAATGACAGACGCACAAGGTCAAAATAAACTAATACACAGGATGTACAAATAATTAGTTGATTTAAACTAAATTAAAAATAACAAATTAATTTCGTCTTGATGAAAAACCGAAGACAATATGTAGAGTAGCGTTTAAATTACTTAAACCTGTAAAATTGTGACAACCAACATTAATACCATATTAGCAATGTTCCAGTCACGCCCACAATCAAGGCGTGGCTTATGTACAAAAAGACTTCTCGTATTTGTTAAATTATTTAATAGTTGAAAAGGAATGAGAAATTATACATCTGTATTATGAATAATTATATACAAAAATGGCATCGCATTCCGAGTGACAGAACTGGCCAAACGCTAAACAAAACTAATTAATTTCTGAAGACAACAATGTTGCGAGTTAAATGTAAGAGTAAACGATAAGATAACCAACATAAAAATCACAAAAGATGATTTCCATCTAATGATATCAAAATCAGTGTTGGATGAACTTATCATGAGGTGACGTGAAAAACAGGCTCGAGCTCGATAATATATAAAACGATCGCGCGCCGTGCCGCACGCACTATGTAAAAAATTACCTACAAATTAATTTAAAAAGAAAACTCCTACACATCATAATACAGAAAATTTTATGTACAAAGACGCTGCTCATCGGGCGTGCACGAGCGTTATGTGAAAGCAGCTTGGACGCCATTTTGATTTGCCTCCCCGAGCACGCGAAGAGAAGTTTCGAAGATTGCTGCATATTTCATACCGAACAATCATTCAGCGCTGTGATAATAATTGATTTTTTGCCTGCCTTATTAACCCACTCGTGTGGTTTTCATTTGAGATCTGCATACTATGCTTTCGTAAAAACTACCGAACGACTCAGTTGTCGTATAATTTCTCCCGCAGACATTTTATCTTGTTGACGAAGTATGCCTCCAGGGATTCGGCGCATTTGAAGAACTGCGACTCCTTGGGGTTGTAATAGCGGCAGTTGTCGAAAATCTTCGTCATGTCGCCGATGAATTCGCTTAACTTGTTGTAGATTCGCTCGTTGATTTTATTTTCAATTTTTTGTAAATCTGTACAAAAATATAACAATTAAAATTTTCCCCACGAAAGTTTAGTGTGTGATATTTACCCATTGGTTCTTTGATGACCTTGTAGTAATCCGGAGCTTCGGTCGGGTCCACAGGCTCCACAAACGGCCATGCACTTTTGTGAGCCTGAAAATATAAAACGTTAGCAAACAATACATACAACAATCGTTTAATGTCATACCTGAATTTGCTTGATTAATCTTCGCAACTCGTCGAAATTCTTGTTACTAAGGTCCTTCATATTCGCGTAGTTCACAGAAGAATTCCGCTGACAATTTGGACAAATGTACTCGTCGATATTATCAGCCTCCGACTGCAAGATGCCAACGCAACGCCCATGGAACCAATCCTGACATCGATCGCAGCAAATATAAAACCTGTTAAACAAACAAAGTTAACACAATTTTCGAAATCATACAAAATTCAAAACTTACTGAGATTCGTCATATGGCTGGCGACACAAACAAAACAATTCTTGAGTCTCGCGCGCATGCTTACACTCTCGACAAATAAACTCAGAAATGTTTTTGCTAGCCTCCTCGGTAATTGCGACGCAGTCTCCATGGAACCAATTGTTACACAGGTCGCAACCCACGTAGAATTTGGTCTCGTCGTATGGCGTTCGACAAATGCAGTACAGTTTCTCCTTCTTATTTTACCGGGCGATACGGCCATTTTATGGCCACCGGAACGACGATGCGATGACTTGTTCGATGGTTTCTCAATCACAGGCGTCGTTGGTTGGGGCACCGCATTTGCTTTGCGACGACTACTGCCCGTCGATGGAGTTCGCGTAGGTTCATCCGGCTTGGATATGCGATCACTATCTTGTTCAACTCGCGTGGCAGCCACTTCATCAGCAACTTCCTTCTAAAGATACAAAAGAAAACAACGAATTTTAGTATATTATTAATAATAATGATATTGTTAAGATTACTTACATGAATCTCAGCTTGGAGTTCCTTCTCGAGCAGGGCGCGCTTCCGTAGAATATCTTTCTTCAAGATTTCCTTGTGTCTAAACAAACTAACCATCGCCTTGGTCTTCATAGACGTGGCCCGCTGTTCAGGAGTAAGCTCCTTCACGATAACTCGTTTATTTCGGGATGGAATCATAGGTTTTATCACGTTTTCCACGGAACTATATCAAAAAGTTTACATTAAACATTATTGAAATCTTTGAAAATACCACTAAATTACCTTTGATGATGATCATGGTCTCGTTTGATGGTTTCCAGAGGATTGCGACTGGGGCGTGGCCGTTTTGGAGTATCCATGACCCATTCGTCGTCGTCCTCATCACCGCGTGACATACTCAATGGGCGTTTCCGTACCACATTCATGGGCGTAACATTCCGCATCGAATTATGGCCGCCGGCTGTGCGTCCGCCCATTGAAGGTGTATCATCGTTTTTCATTTGTTTTTCTTGGTACCTCTGCAGCTGGAGCAACTTCTCTTCAATCTCAGGATTAAGATTCTCCTGCTTCAACGCCGTTCGAATAGCTGAAGCGTGCGAAAAGAGAAAACAATGTCAGGATCGTAGGGATGATGGCGCAAGTGTGAGCGTAAAGAGTAAATATAAAACACAAGAATAGTAAAAACTCAAAAAAAGTGAAAACCCAAAGCAAAACGACAGAAAGTAATAATTTGTGAAACTTAAAATAAAAATAACAAAACAGTTGGACACAATATAAATTATCTTCGCACATGTGTTCGGTTTTCGTAAACGTTTTTATTTCATTCGTAATTTGGAAACATACAAAAAGAGAGAAATTAGAGGTTTTGGTACAAATTGTGTGCTTGTTCATCTATCCTATGTTAGTCGCATGCGCCACCGCTTTGGTGATTGCTTTGGTTTCGCTCGCAAAATATCACAGTCGAAGGAATAGAGAGAAACAAACCTCGTGTGTGTGTGTGAGACCAACCAATCAATCAGTCAACACCACCACTCATTCGCTTATTCGTTACGGAAACAACAACAACACATGGCTTAGATAATCTGGTCGCATTCTTAAAACGCGCGCGCGCGCGCGCGTGTGTTCAACTGATTTGTTTAGCGCACTTGTAAGTTTCATGTTTAACATTTCGCTCGCCACCCTACTCGCCTACTGATGATTAATATGATGGTAGGTATGAGTGATGTAGTCGTTTTGCAATGGGTACGCGCAATTCGGATTGTAAACAATAACGGAAGGTTGATGGTAAATTAACATACTTTGCTGAATGTAGTCCGGCGTGACGACAAACTGCTTGTTCTCCACGAGAGCGGGCGCGATCGCCGTCGTTGCCGAGGCGACAATCTGCTGCTGCGGTTGAGGTTGTTGTGGCACCGCCGTCTGGGCAGACATAGTACCCTCCAGCATGTTGGTCTTCATCGCCTGCAGCAGTGCACTGTTCGTCTGCTGCCCATTGACGAGCACCTGACGTTGCTCCACGACCTACAACGAGTATTCATGAAACGCGTTGCGGCAATATTTCAAACAGAAATGCGTTAAGGTACTTATAAAAAGAAATCAACCTTCTAAAAGCATGTCAGTCAATTTATTTCAGTAATAGCATTCCCAGTTAATAAATATAATAAAATTATTGATAAAAAGCATCACAACGTGCGCGAGTTTAGTCAATGATTAGAGAAATAACAAGCAAAAAAGCGTTGAAATTATTAAGCGGTAATTTTTTTAAAGTTGTTTAGGTTGCATACCTGCTGCGGTTGGATCTCTTGCTGCACATTCTGCACCACCGGTGTCAAAGGAGGCGGGGCGTCGACTGTGGCAGCTCCTCCCGCATCGGTCTGATTCGGTTGAACCGCGAGGTAAATCTTCGTTGGACCCAAAACTCCCTGTTTGCCAGTTGATGCTTGGGCTGTAAAAACAAACACAATTAAAATCATACAATATAACATGTGCATCTATGTAGATGGAAAAAGAAATACTTTAATTAAATACATACCTTTAAGTAGTTGTTGTTTAACCTGCTGTTGTACAGCTGCCAATTGTTGTGGAGTAAAATCAGCACCCTGGAGTCCTTGCAAAACAATTCGCGGCCCTTGCTGAGTTTGTATCACTTGAGCAGTTACGCACTTTATCACCGTACCAGGCGGTTGCCCAGCGAGTAAATGCTCCATGGTAGCTGGGTCAATGGAATTGTCTACTTTAGCTGCAACTGACTGTTGTTGCGCTTGTTGTTCGACCTGTTTAGCTGCAGTAGTGATCACCTGCTGTTGTACAACTGGCTGTGTAATCTGCTGTACCTGCTGCTGCGGTGATACTTGCGATGTAGTCACCGCGCTTGGCGTAAGCTGCGCGACAATCTGCGCTTGATTATTACCCGTAGGGCGAATGAGTACTTGCTGACCGTTGATAGTGGCCACCTGAACTTTACCCTGCGCAATCTGCGCGGCCAGGTTTTGATTGTTCACCACAATTTGATTCGTAATTATCTGAAAGTTGCAGCAAAAAGATTAGTCAAGGCATAAAATAAAATAAAACGATAATCAAGATACCTGTTGTTGTTGTTGCCCAATGGCACTAGTGGTAACAACTTGCTGTTGAATCATTGGCGTGCCAGAAACAACAATGGAGGTGGCAAGCTTTTGTTGTGTTGGTGGCGTAGTAGGCGTTACCGCCGCTTGCTTGATAATGATTTGTTTAGTCGGCGTGGTGAGATTGGTTGGCAACTTGTTGCCGACCGTTTGTAATATGACCTTTCCTGTAGGAGTCTTTACAATTTTATTGGCGGCAATTGCTGTAGTCAAAGTCGGCGTCGCAGCTACCGTCGGTTTAACTGAAGAACTTGTCGCGGTTGGAGTAGCAGACGAGACGGTAGTACTTAACACCTGTAATTTTCCATCGGGCATTTGCACCAATTGCTGACCGGGCATCAAACCCTTCACAGTAAACCGACCATCAGGTGTTCTCATGATTTGTACTCTTTGCGGCGTAGTTTCTTGTTTCGGCGTTTGCGGTGCTGCAGTAACTGTTGGTGTTGCTAAAAATCAATGAGTCACATTTTGTGTATACCAATATATTGTTGATAGTTACCTGTGGCAGTTTGGGCGACTTGTTGATTGGGTTGTAACTTGATCATTTGGTTACCACCGGGGCCTTTAATGATTTGTGGACTTCCAGTGAGGACGCGTGTAGTGCCATCGGCGGCTTTGGTCATGAAAATGCGTCTTCCAGTGAACTGCTTACCGCCAGCGGTGTTATTTGCAGTGAGAAGTGAAGTTAAAGTCTTGCCAGCTTGACCAGGCATTACACTCTTCACAACTTGCAGTTTACCATCTGGAGTAACTACAGAAAAAGTAAAATGCCAACAAAACTGATATAATTTTAAATTTAAATCGAAAGTGTGTTACCTTTCGGTTGTATTGTTTTAGTTGTAGTTGCTTGTGCAGTAGAAGCAGCTTTACCAAGGGAAGTTAATGTTAAATTTAGCTTTTTCAACGAAACATGCAAAAATAAAACCAAACTTACCTTGTGTAGCAGCACCTCCAATCTTAATAATTTGTCCTTGAGCATTCTTCAACTCTAACGCACGTTTTTGTTGGTGTGCAGCTCTCTGTAGCCGAAGTTGTTGCTCCATCTTTTCTTTAAAGTCTTCAGCACCCTGTTTAGATGTGACCAATACTTTTGCCGGTGAAATCCCATCCGTAGTTTCAGAAATAACCCGTGCCGGAGGAAGATTACCAGTCCGACTACGCGTGATTACCTGTTGTTGTTGCCTCTCCAACTTTTCACCATATTGTTTAATCTCCCACAGCTCCAACTTATCCTCATCCACCCATTCTTCGGTAACCTGCGGATCTGTACTCTGCGGCGACTCGGGCCTCTTCCTCTTCCGCAATCCGCTTCTAATGGAAGTAACTTCTCTTACAGTCTTCGGCAACTCCAAAGGAATCACCACCTTTCTCCTCAAATATTGTGTGCGTTCCATGAACGGCCCAGTATGCCTATGCTTCAACAGCTCCAAGCTCAAAATCTCAGTCTCTGTTGTGATTTGATGTTTACCATCTTGATTCTGCGGTTTTACTTGCATATCATCCCAACGTAAACACGCCCAGAGGATTTTTAACTGTAAAGCGGCAGTTGCGATTGATTTGAGGTTCACGGTCCGGAAGACCCAGCAAGTTTTAAATAATGGTCGAGCGCAAGGATAAGGCCATACCAAGCTATTGCTCTTTGCCATCGCGTTGAAACCATTGATATAAATCCTACCTGCATTGCGAGCTAGTTTCTTAGACTCGTGTTTGGGTAATACAAAAAGTGAGCGGAAATTTTTCACAGTTTTGAAGGTGGAACACTGTGGATACTTCACAGCACCCTTCTTCTTCTTTTTATCAGCTCCTATAATGGTAATCCGTTTCAGGTAAACTTTACCCTGAGTTTTGGTCGAGGAGTAAACACGTTCAAAGCCATCAACGGTGGTTTCAGACTTTACTGTACTCTCTTCGCGTCTCGCGCTTTTCATTGCGCAGAATCTTCGATTCCAAGCTGCATGGTATGTTGAATGTGATTGTGTTTGGGACTTGGCATTCAATGTCTGAATAGTCCTACCATTTGAAACGGTTGTATTAGTTTCCTCCTTGGTTTTCTTCGCAGAAACAGACTCCTTTTTCACAACACCATCAACTAGTGTTTTTGATGAAGTGGTCGTAGAAGTGACTGTAGTTGTTGTTGTGGTGGTAATAATCGATTTACTTCTAGTTGCCCTACCAGTACCATTATTACTAGTGCTACTCGTGGAACTACTATTACTACTCTTGCTATTTCCACCACCAAGAATCATCTCCTTAACATCCTCAGGGGTCATATCAATTTCCATGTCAACTTCTTGATGTTGCTCGGAATCGCTCAATAATTCTACGTCGCGCTTCTTCGGCTTCTTTACATTTTTAACATCTTCGCGCTCGGCTGCAATTTGATTGGAAGCTACCAGTTCATTCCAATCATCAGCATCGAAAGGTTCGTCTTTGATGAAAGGAGGATTCTCCATTGGGATCATACCTGCATAAACCTGATCATCACAAACAGTCGCTTGTAAAAGAGTGGTAACTAAATTGCTTCGTAAAGTAGCTTCATTGTCAGCTGCGTCCACATCCTTTTCGGAAGCACCAACTTTCGCTAATTCACCACTCGTCGCTGACGTGCTCGAAGGTTCCGTCAGCTTAGCCTCCAGAATTGAAGTCGTCTTAATATTACTACCATTATTTGCTGTATTGAGAGTCAATCCCAATTTTTGATTCGTATGTACATTCGCCTTCCGCAGCAGAAACAGCAGCTCTTTACGAACTTTATTCCTTTGAACACAAATCGGCGAGTAACAACTTGATGCGACATTGTTGGAATTGCAACCCTTCGAATAACACTGAAACTCCTTCCCAAACTTTGAAATTGCAGTATAGTGAAGTCTCAACTGTTGAATTTTCTTCGCGATGTTATTGAGCATTTCTTTACTGACTGGTGTCGCGGGCGCTTGCGACGTTGATGTATTATTCACTGGATTATCTGTTGATTCCACATCAACGTCCTCATTGGTATCAGTCGAATCGGTGGTCTGACTTTCCGACTTCGCCTGAGCGATTTTCCTCTCTTCGATTGCCCGCAGATGAATTCTCCGTGTGAGCAACTCGTCAAGACTCGACTTTTCGCTATCTTTGGATATAAAAGTCGGCCCGACGCAGTTAATGCTTTGCTGACATCAATTTCTTCAAAATATTTCACTGGTCGTACAATTTTTAAATCTTTTAATACTGCAGGAATAACATCATCACCTTGCATGGTCGTATCTTCTTCAATGTCCATTGCATCATCTTCCAACTTAATTTCGTCTTTAATACCGCCATCATCAATCTCAAAATTTTTCTTGAGGTGATTATACATTTCTTTATCGACAGCGATGAGTTTCAAGCCGTCTTTCGTTCGCACCTGAACCATGGTCTTCAGCGGTCCTGCCGCGAGTCCACACTCTTTAGAATTAACGAAATTCACCATCCGCGCAGTCGAATACCACAACCATCCCCAACGACCATGGATGCGATACTCTTCCCCCTTCTGCTTCCACAATTGATGCTTAAAACTCATTGTATACTTAACATAACTAGAAATAATCAATCTATTTCGTTCCTCTTCCTCTTCGCGCTCTTTCTTCTCTCGTTTCTCAACCTTTTTGCGCTCTTCACGTTCGGCAGCTGTAACCCTCACAAGTTTAATATGTCCTAATTGATCATGCCACACATTTGCAAACATACACGGCTTGATACAAGCCTGCAAAACAATTAGCGCTTTCGCGAAGTCCTTAGCATGTTGGCATTGATTCACCACACCCAGCCAAGTTTTCTTCAACAGCGGCCAGTTGGGGTGCATAAATGGAGCCTGTATAGCCTGCTCCAGTTGTACAAGCGTCTGTCGTAGCGTTTGCAGTAACGCTGTTTTATTACCCGTCGTTACCCCAGCCCATTTGAAGTCCGACGCGGTCGTCAACGAGAACTTATGACTCAAATGTCGCTTCTTATCGCGCTCTTCATTTCGCTGAGGTTTATTCAACGCGATGATATTCGTTGTGAATTGATTCACGTAACCCTTAAACTGATTTTCCATACCGAGCTTATACATAAACGTACCGTTCGCGATCTGGAGAGACTTTAATCGCGTTATTCTTTCATCATTGCCGAGTGCATCTTTGTTCAGAATCGAGTTTGATCTCTTGCGGATTTCATCGATATTAAATGTGCGCGGTGTGAGTGAACCAGTCTTAGACCTTGTCACAATGTCTTTCTCTTTATCACCTGATGAATCATTGGAGTCTTCACCTCGGATTGTTGTTGTGGTTGTCGTGGTAGTTATTTCGGTAGTGGTAGTAGTGGTGGTCACAACTTCTTTGGTTTCTTCAAACTCTTTATCCTCTTCGGTTTTTTCTTCATCAGCTTCTCTCCGAGACTTAAGAATAGCTTGATTTTCCTGTTCCAGATAAGTCTTCTTGTTGCCCTTAAACTGATTGGTTAACTTTTCGGTAAGTTCCATTTGACGAATGATTTCATCCTTGAAATCGTTGAGTTCTCTGCATAAATCAGCCTCCATTTCTTCCGAATCGAGCACGTTGAGTAGTTCATCAAATTGCGTTGTGGTCGTATAATACCACACATCATTTTCTTCATTTTCACTAGAATATTGAAATAAAAATAAAGAAATTGCATAAACCAACGTTTTTACAAGTGTAACATTTACTTACATAAATATCCGTCGACATAAAAAGTAATACTTTCTTCCAAAGCGGTCAAAGCCGAGCTGCTCCTGCCGACACAATTGTCCCTGTTTCTCCACGTCCAACACGCAATCGACCACACCACTGACGCGATGTGAGCGACATATATTACACTGCCAGTCCTCGACAGGCACGTCAACCAACGGCGGGTCGACACATTCGAGATGGAATACGGCCGGGCAAGTTTCGCAGCATAGCAGGTCGCCGAGTTTATGACATACTCGACAATGATCGTCATAATGCATCGGTACTAAAAATCAAAAACACAAAACGTCAGTTTATTGCTTTATTTGCCTCAAAATGTATTTTAATCTTACCTTCACTAATTAAATCTTCCCGCACTGGATTCGTCGTCAGAAACTGATCAGTTAGAAAGCGCATCACCGTGATTTTATTCTCCAAACTAGTGTAAGGATAGTCTGTGGTGTTCAAAATGTTCAACACTGTCACGTCAAAACTAGAGTCACTCTCAACGTACGAACGGAGCACCTCCGGCCAAGTCACATAATCCAAAAGATACAGAGATATATTCACACTGTCTTTTTGATCAAGTGGTGCAAAGTGTGTCTGCTGAGAGTCTTCCTCTCTGAAGAGAGCCTTCAATAGCATAATGTGCACCTCGGCAAAGAGATTGCTCTGATCCTCGCACATAATAGCCGCGCAAAAGTCTTCCAGCCGAAACGGAGAAAGACGCACCAGGTTTCTGAAATGCCGCAGCACTTCATAGATGCTCACCACCGGCATAATCTCGTTACGTGGCACGAGTAAATCATCGGAGCTTTTTGGTAGATCTAGCGGAGGTATCGGTTTGTTTTGCAGCCACAGCGGTTCGGGTGTTGGAGGCCGTGGCCGCCGTGGTGTACCACTCACCGTGCTAAAGCTACTAAGCGAGAAATCGCTGTCCGTCGATTGATCAGCGACGGATATTTCACTATCCGACGCCGAGACCACGACCTCATCCTCCGGCTCGGATTTCTCCGAAGAATCATCACCGAAGTCTTATCCATAGTGATATTCAGACTCGTGGTACTCACTTGCTTGTGGATTATACCCACGGCGTTGATACGCACCACCTCCGGGTGTTGTGGCCGCGCGTTTTTTGCCTCTGGAACGCGTGCCTCGTGTTCGACGCGGCGCTTCCACCTGCGGTGATGATGCGCGTGAAGCTGACGGTGTGCTCAATGGTGAGTCAGAACCGCGATTGAGGTTCTGTAGATATTTCGGCTTTTTGAGCAGTTGATATTGGAACTTCTTGGTGGTGCGCTCCGGCACCTGCACCTTCGGAGGGCGGCCGCGCTTCTTGGAGCCGCGCGCCGACATTACCACCGCGTCGTCGTCGTCGCCCTGACAACGACCATCAAGTCACTCACGTGCGGCGCTCTTTATTTACAAACACACGAATGTCAAAAATGCGTGCTGATCGCGGTGCTCATTTTACCATGCAACTCGTTGCCGCCGCGTTCGATTTGGCGGCGTCACGTGACCGCTCTCTGATCGACTGAGAAAATTCGCACGAATGCACCGTTGGTTACTCTGGCGAGACGTTTTCCGCACGAGGGTCGCGTGCGGCCTTCGGCTATGAATGTGCGCCTCGTCTTAGGCGGGTTGTCTACGCCATTAACGGACGCGCTGCGCTAATCTCACACTCAACCACACTGACGCTGCACGAACGGCGATGCGGCGGACAACGCTCGCAGCGCGCACGCTCATTGGTCGCCGACAATGGACGCCATGACAATTCGTATCGGCGATTATTGCGCTCGAAAACGAAATTACCTGTACGAGATGAATCACAGGTCGCCCGGCTCGTTTTTCTCGCGGATGGATGCCGTTCAGGTGGAAATCGCAATTTAATCCCGACGTTTTCGATGAAAATTCAGCACATACGGACGGGAACGACGGCCAATCGTGGCGCACAGCACTGATAATGAACGGACGTCACTGCAGATGGCGCCGTAATCGCACGCATTGCTAGGCGATTGCTTCAATTTCTTCTTGAACACCTTCAAAACACGCTGCAATAATCATACTTGATTTATTTACGGTCTTCCTGACGATTTGCATTTCCGTGGTTATTGTTTTGCATTAATATTATGTAATTTCCGGTGCATAACGGAAGCGTGCTTTGAGTCGGCGGTTGTCAAATTTGAACAAGTTCAAAACAAGTACACAGTAGCGCACTTCGATTAGTAGCACTTTAAAAACTGCCAAATTCTTGAAATTAAAATGCTGAATCCATGTGTAACGATTATAAACACTACTATTAAATAGAATTTCACTAATTGCACTTGTTTTTAGCTGACTTCTATGCTTAAATCCAAAAATAAACTTTAAAAATGACTTGAACCGGACCATGATATCCCAGATATGGCCAGCCTGCACTCTCAAGGTCATGTAGGTCAATTTATCAACGTGTCCGCACACCATATTAGAATTTACAATCGACTCGAGCCTTTTTTTCACCGAATGAATTATATTTTCGCAAATGGCCGGCCCAATTAAGATGTACGCGATGCGGCCGATTGTGCGGCATGACATGCCCGTGACGTTACCGACATGCATGTACAGCTTGCCGATCATCCAAGGCGCGATCGACGGCGACGGCGTCGTCACTGCAGCGAAGAGCAACAATGGCACTACGTCCTCGGCCAGCGTGGAGCTCGTTGGCGAGCAGGTTAAGCAGTTTTTAAAGGTTCATTCGCATGTTCACTACACCCCCGACTAAAACAAATCGCAATTAGCGACCGCGCGCGTTCTGGAAACGGCCGAATCGTCGCCGAAGCACAAATTATTACCCGCGACGCGGCCACGCAAGAACGGGCAGGTAATTCCGGCCGCCGGCTGGTGCACAACTAACTCATTCAGCTCAGTTAAGCAACTGTCAAAAAGCTTTGCTAGATTACACACTGAATGCATATTTGTTCATTACTGCCCCAAACTTGATATGCCAAGAGAAGAGTGAAAATTAAGTGAGAATAGCTCAAAACCCATAAATATTAGCCACAATGACCAAATTCAAAAATTTCTGTGTAATTTTAACTGACTTGAATTAATTTTACAGAATAATCAAACAATGACCATGGCACTAGTCCAGCAAAGACAAGAAGTGATTCTTCAACAGTTAGAAGACCTAAAGAAGCAGATGACTGCCATTCGAGATACTTTAAGAACAAGTTCCACCACATCATGTGCAGTAAATGCTATTAAAGGAAATGTTAAAAATACCAGTTCATGTGATAGTCTAAATGTAAGTAAAACAAAGAATTTTGAACAATTTCTAAGTGAAAATTTTCATATTTCAGGTGAAATTGCTACCAACTGAAATTTCAATCAATGTAAACCCTTCAAACCCACCTTACTTCTTACTTTTACTGCAGAAAATGTGGAAGAATAAAATCACCATCAATATTCAGTCATACATTCATTCTACTGTAACTCAACTGCCTGAAAATACTCGGGCTTTTGTTCAAAGCATCCCAGAACCTGTTACAAGTTCAAATCTGACTTGTTTAACAGTAAGATTAATTTGGAAAACAAGTAAGTGTAAATAATTCCTATTTCCTATTTTAATGTTTAAAATTCTATTGAATTTATAGTTGGAGTTAATCAGTTGGAACTAACTGGTGCAAGACCTATCCAGGGGGAAGTCAATCTACTCCGTTACTTAGCCCGCCTGACATCATCCCTAAACTACAACGATAATATCGAAATGGACTCCTACCTGGACACTTGCTACAACATCTCGCGATCCAAGACGAAGTCCGAGCGTTTACCTCTTTTCCAGCGTCTGAACAAAAAGCTAGGCAAGGAAAAGTTCATCTTTGGTGATTTCTCCATCGTTGACATAGCCGCTTATTCTGCGATCAAACAAACTGCCGGAGCGGGCGAAGTCAATGTTGGCATGACTAAATGGATGAACAATTGTGAGGCTTACAATTAAGTTGTTTAAACAGTAAATAAATAACTTATAAAATAACTTAAAACTAAATATCTTCCAAATATTGACTTCGTAATGTTCATATTTTTGTTTATTTCATTTCATTTTTATATAGTTTTTTAATAGTTCCTCATTTCTCATTGTTAAGTAGATTCATTCATTAATCATTAAATCACAGTTTACTTTTTACATTTACAAAAGTTCATACTCATACGCAAACGTCGAAACTCATACTCGGAATAACTAAACACATAAATACAAGTATACAAGAATGATTAAATAAATAAGAACAGTAATGATTCGCAGCTTGTTCTGGGCAGTGTGTGTGTACGCTTAAAACTAAAACCGACGCGTATAATTCACTAAATTTAAGTTAAAATTAAGTCTTGTAGTCTTTGAACAGCTTACAGTTTAAATTTGTTGGGTTTCCATTAGAATTTCAAGAGTTTTCAACGCAACACTTCGGATCTGTATACATCCGAGTCGAAAATTTCGTTTAAACATCGTTATATTTTAATATAGTTTAATAATTGCTTCAATTTTTTTTTCTTTCATTTTGTTTAAGTTGTGTTTTTCACCTTTAGTTCGTTATTATGATAGATATCGATACATGTTACGCTTACATGTCAACAAGTTGAGTTTACCTTCGGAAATCAGTTTCAGGAGTCAGTTCAAAGGTGTGTTCGGATAGTGTACAAATAATTATAAAACACTAATAGAAGTCTAAAAATTTGCCTACGCTTTGACTTAGAAATCAACATTTTCAAAAGCTTTGTTGAGATTTTTTTCTTATTCTCGAGTGCTTTTTTAAAATATTGAGTCCTAAAGTCGTCCTAAACAATATTGTCATAGTCAATAATGATTTGGGCAGATTTTTGGGAGAAAGTCGTAAAGCTTACCAGCCTAAATGTTGAACTTACTTGCATACGAACGCCGCAAATACATCGCGTTAGTTTTTTTTAGTTTCGTTTGTTTTGTATATGTACAAAGTTAAAACGCCCGTCGATTATTGTTGAACTGGGCTAGATAGTCATATCAAAGGGTTCTACGAGTACTTATCAGTGCCATACATATTACTTATGTTATGTTATGTAAACGTTCAAGTCTTGTTCAAGTGAGATAATGCAACAAATCGCAGTATTTGTCGATTCGTCGAGTTAATTAGACCAATTATATCTATATGAACCGCTAGTATTTTTTTGTTGATTACAATGGCAATTATAGTGATTGATTCTGGCACTACTTAGATTCGCTTCTTTCGTTTGTTAATTGCACTAAGTTTGTTTCGAGTCGATTGTCTTAAGTAATTCTTACCTAAATGCAACATCAACTTAACTTATTAATCTTTGTCACGTGTTCTTCGTCAGCCATTTCGTTTGCTTGCGAATTGTCATCCATTACATTATTACTTAAAAAACTATTAGCGCTATACGAACGATGAGAAGCCGGGCAGCGGCGCCCGCGAGCGCGCCATATTGTTGAGGATGATCTGGCCGCCATTGAGGCTCACGACGGCGCTGCCTTCCGGCTCTGAGTCCGTATAGCTAGAATAGTTCCGCACAGGCTTCTGCCTCTTCCAGGATTGCCGCAGGGAATCGTTCACGTTGGCGTAGTGATTGACGAACGAGTGCGGATCGGAGCGGACGCTCTCGTTTTCGCTCTCAGAGGCCTGCAAATAAATTCAGAACAATTTCAATCAACACAATCGAGACATACGTAACTAATAAAATAAAATGAGAATGAACATTCGGACAACATGAATAACGGATTCAAAATGGTGCTAAAACGGACGAAACAATTTTACTGAAATATATGGTATCAACTGTAAACGTAAAGCTTTCGTTGCAGCATGCAGAAATCATATTTCAGTGCACAACTTTAACTTTATCTTACTTATTCATAATCAGCCAGAATAGTAATGGTTTTATTTTATTTATCGTAATCGATGTTTTTTTTTTTAATAACTCGGTGAGTATTCTTGAATTGAAATGATAGAACAGAACAAAAGAAGCATTTCGTACTCGTAATATGATTTGTTCCAAATACCTGTCACAATTTCAATAATAATTTCTTTTTGTTTCACCTGCAAATGGAAAGAATACAAGATCTCTTTATTGGCACCAATAGAAGCAACCAAAAAAAGAAACAGATTAACACGGCTTTCTTTTACCTTCAGAGAACGTATTTTTTGGAAGGTCGAAATACATCACCGTTAAGTAATTAGTTAATTTACCTGCGAGTCAGTGGAACTCATCTCGGAGGGTTTCTCGGTGACGCTGCTATCGTCGGGCGTCTCGTCATACCCCTTTAAGCTTTCTTCATCGGAGTGATAAGCCACAGATGCAGGCGATGGTCGCGGCGGAGATTTTCCTAGCGGAGGCGGTGGCATTACTTGCTTACGATGAAGAGTGCCACGTTTGCTGATCGTCCCCAAGTTGCTGAGATTTCCGCCTCCGTGTCGCGACCGGTATAATTCCATGGCAAGTTCTTGGCGATCGTCAATTGACATCGCCATTGATTCCTCCAAAGTTTTTTGTGCTTCTTCTATTTACAAAACACATAAAAACAAAAATGTTATTTACCTTCCTTTTTAATTTTAATGATAATGTGAATACTTACGTTTATATTTGTAACTCTTGCTCTTTACACACAAAATGGCGATTACGGTAATAATGATAATAATCGAAATGGCCGCCAACGCAACCATAAACCACGTCTGCCTGTAGAATGGTTTATGTTGAAGATATCCGTATTCCAAGTAAAGTTTACTCGGTGTTAAGACATATTCATCCGATGTTGCCGGAAAACTCACACCATATTTGTTATACGGGATGACTCTAAAGTTGTATGATGTGCTCGGCAATAAACTCTGATAACTAACAGTGAAATCTTGTAGTGGACCATTAGTTGTCCTCGCTACAGTCTGCCAGCGGTTGTCATCCTTCCTCTTACATTCTAAATAATACCCCAGAATTGGACCTTTACCAGTTGGACCATTCAACCAGTGCAACTCAACACTAGATAGTGTCTTAATCAACACCAACTCTTTTGGAGTGCTAGGTGATCCTTCCTGAGGTCCTGTCGTCACATTGCTTGTTACAGCGGGACCAAAGTCAATGGTCTGCGCACGCACGGTAAAAGTATAAGTCACTTGTTCCTCCAACGAAATGACATTGAGGAATGTTGTTGAAACCTTTTGTTTGACTTGTTTACTGAATTCTGTTAAAAATTTAAATAAATTAGGTTTATATTCGCTTATGTAATGTTTGGTTATGTACTTACTTTCATTTTGTTCTGTGGTTTCATAAGTAACAATGTAGCCAATAATATCTCCATTTCGTTTCTTTGGTGGGTTCCAAGATACCTTCAAGCTGTTCATGGTGATATCAGTAAATTTGAGATCCATTGGGGGTCCAGGTAAACCTTGCAAAGTCTTAACTGTGATTGGTTTCGAGCGTGGACCATCGCCAGCGGGATTAAAGGCGAGAATTTGTATTCGGTACTGAGTAAACTTATCAAGAAAGACAAGACTATGACCAGTTGCACTTGCAGGTACAACTTCAATTTCCTCCTCAGGTTTTTTATCACCCAACTCTTGAGGACTACTAGTAACCAAATAGAAGATCTTGTATCCTAACAATTCGCCGTTTTGCATTGACTGCTGAGGTGGTTTCCACCGTAATCGGACCTCAGTTGAAGATACTGCTTCACCTTCAAGAGCTCGCGGTTCGCCAATTGGTACTGCCTCACCTACGTACACAGTTACCGGAGGACTGGCAGGACCTTCTCCTTGTGAGTTAAAAGGTACTACAACGATTTCATAGTTGCGGTCTTGAAGGAGTTCACTTAGGACCATCTTACGACGCTAAATAAAAAGAAAAAAAATCAAGAAACATATAATAAATGGTTATTTTTATAACTTACATGAATTCCCATAACATCCTCCTTTGGTGTAGCTTGTAATGCCGTAGGAAAATCGGAAACAGGCTGGAAGATAACTCTGTATCCACCAGTACTGATATCCCCACTCCAGTGAGTCTCCTCAATAGGATCCCAGTAAACCTGCACGCTAGTAGTAGTAATAGGTACAACCTTCAAGTTATTCACTCCTTTACTAGGTGCGGCCGGATATGTTCTAACTTCAATCGACTCCAGTGAAAAACTACTTGGTCCTATATCATTTGTAGCCTGAATACGGAACTTGTAGCTCGAGAATGGCCTCAATCCACTGACAGTATAAGATGTTAATTGTGGATCAACCCTTTCAGGAATATCCGTCCATTGTGCATTATTTTCCATTTTTTGAACAATATAATACCTCAAAGGAGCAAAACCATCTCTACCCGGTGTCCAACTGAAGGTAATCTGCTTGCTTTGTATCTGACTATGGCTTATTTGCGGTCTAGATGGAGGTTGGGGTGGTTCACGATTATTCGTAGTGAAAACCAGAGCGTGGGCGGTTTTACCCCACCCCAAACGTGTTTGTGCGGTTACCGAGAAAATATAGTACCGTTCCTGTTCGAGCTTTGTAGCACGGAAAGTCCTATCACTTGGTGGGAACTCCTTGGAGTATTTGCTTGTGACATGCGTGTCATTGATTTGGTATGTTACCTTGTAAGCCAGTATTTCACCATTCGGTTCTTCCGGAACATCCCAGATGATTCTAGCTGATGTAAATGATACATCGGGGAAGGAAACATTGGAAGGTGCACCGGGTACGTCTTCAAACGTTTGTACTCTTACAGGAGGAGTGCTGGGGCGACCGTCACCAAGTCTTGTATAAGCTAAGACTTGTATATGATAAAGGACAAATTTTCTCAATTCAGTTAGGGTTGTTGTGAAGGTTGCATTATTAGGAATTAATTTATATTGTACCAAGGATCTGGTATCAGCTCCATAGTATACTTTGAAACCTTCAATTTGGCCATTTTGATGTTCCTTGGGAACATCTCCCCATTTTACCACAATAGTTGTTGAAGATGTCGCGTTTGCTTCCACATTTAATGGTCCAAATGATGGTACTGATTCTCTGGTCCTTTCCAATGCTTTGGGACTAGGTGTACTGCTCCCAACATCATTATAAGCCTGCATTGTGATCTCATATAGAGCAAATTCTTCTAATTTAGTAATGATATGGCTATTGGCAGTTGGATCTTCAATTGTTTCACTCAGAGCTCTACCACTTCCAAGTTCAACATAACTTATGTTATAACCTCTTGGATTTCCGTACCATTCCATTTGTTGTAGTGGAATCCACCTCACTCTTAATTCAGTTGCACTCATCGCTCTAACAGTTACGTTCTTTGGTGGATGGGACGGTGGTGCTTGTATAGTCTGAAACTCCTTCGTTGGTTCACTTGCCGCACTTGCCCCGACAACATTATTAGCAATCAGACGCAATCTATAGTTAGTAAAAGGTGTTAAATTCGTCACAGCGATTGTTGTAGCATCAGGATCGGTCTTTTGAAAGACCGGGAACCAGGTGGTATTCCGTGCAGTTTGTGCTTCTACTGTCCACTTGGTGATAGAAGAATTACCATCAAATCCAGGTGTAAATTGTAAAACCACAGAAAAGGCTTCAATGTTACTCAGAGCCAACTTTGATGGAGGACTAGGTAAAACCGGTTCTACTCCAGATTGAATAATCGCTACCTTTGCAGGTCCAGGACCTTTAGCAGTCCATGAAGTCACCTCGAATCTATAGTGTGTTGTTGCTTGTAATTGATCAATCTTTAGACTCGTAGTTTCCGCTGTTAAATTTTTGTACTTCATTGTTTCCGGTTCATCTTTCACCTGATATTTGATTTGGTAACCAGTAAGAATACCGTTGATGTTCTTTGGTGGAGACCATTGAACCTTCACGGCTCTATCGCTAACTTCATCAAACTGTAAATTGGCAATCTCATCCGGAACATCTTCCAAAGTTTTCACATTCACGTAGTCTGAGATTTCACCGTCTCCTGGGTCGGTAAAAGCCAACACTGTAATATTATACTCTTGGAACTTTTCTAGGCCATTCATAATCGCCATTTGCTTCGCCAAGGGATCTAATAAATTCGGGTGGACTGTCATAACTTTAGCTTCTTCTTCAGTTTCAGTAACCGGATCCCAAACCCAAGCTTGTATCTTGTATCCTTGATTAATTCCGTTGATTTTTTGAGGATCTGGAGGTTTCCACCAGATTTCTACTGCGGTTGAATTAATCGGATCAACTTTTTGTATGACTGGCGGTGCTTCTGGCACACCTTCCTTTGTTTTGATCTTGGCACCATCTGTGTACTTTCCTACACCTTTATTGTTATAAGCAGCAATTTGCACAACGTAATCTTTCCAAGTAATCAAATCTTGGATCAAAAAGTTACGCTGAGCTTCATTGGTAATATTGCGCATGATCCATGGTGATTTATTATAACCAAAGAGGCGATATCTGATGATATATCCAAGAATCTGACCATTGCGATGTTCTTCTAATGGAGGTTGCCATTGGGTGATGATCTCCGACGAACTGCGAGCGGATCCCACGAAGCCAACAGGTGGACCAGACGGAGCTATAATTTATGATGGAGTTTAGGAGGATACTTTCTAGGGAGGTGCTTATATTAAACTATACATATTTTATTTGGTAATAGTAATAGACATGCGAGTTCGAAAAATGTCACAAAACGCATGCGTTTGCTCCTCTCTCGAAATGTTAGTGCACATTTTCGCCAAAAATACAGTCCTTGCGCAGGAGAGAGAGATTGCCTCGTTCAAGTACTACCACAATAGATAGAGACATACAAAAAGTATCGAAAAAAGTCAAACCTGTTTTGTTAAAATTCTTTAAGTATCCTGCACGTAGCAGTACAATAAAAGAGTACACATCAAATGTATACAAAATCAACGCATTTTTCGTCTTCGCATGCAAATATTTATCCTCTCCAATAAAATAAAACCTTAATATATTATTTATTGAAAAAGATAAATATTATATATATTTTTATAGAATATCTAGTAAAATTAAAGAGTATTTCTGAGGTAAAGATTGATAAATACCTTCTTGTGGTAACATGACTTCATTGCTCGGCTCAGAAGGGCTACCCTCCCCAACAGAGTTAACGGCAGACACGCGAAATTGATAAGCCGCCGCCGCTTTTAAATTGGTGAGCAAAATCCACCGCTGAGCGGCGGAGACGTTGCTGATCTCCGTCGCCCAGTTGAGCAGCGGGTCCGGAATGGGGCCTGAAATCGGAGGCACTTATTTGAAGAGCTATAAAACACTGCCGGAACAAAATGTCGGACTGGTTGCGAATGCAACTCCACGTGTGGAGAATCAAATGAGCATGCATAACAAAATGTCATAAATAATATCAACATAAATAACTAAACGCATAAAGTTCCCATTTACAAAATAATTACAATCAATAAACCCCGTAATCAACATAAAATAATATATATGAGTGCGCATATGTATAGTATAGTGCCCTCAGCCAGAAATGGAACTAAACTTGAAAATTTTGAGCGCATTATTTACAACATTTACATGCTCATTCATGCGTTAGATAAATTCAACGTTGTACTTACCTAGTTCAGGCACTTCACGCTTCTGTATAATGTATTGTTTGATGGGACTGTTACCATCAAAACCTGGCGTCCATGAAATATTTACCGCCCTTGCAGAGCCCGTATCCACGCGAACAGCTTGTACATTCAGCGGGGCGAATGGCAACTCGATGACGGAGAGTTTTGCAGTGCGTGTTTCGTTCCCACCTGGCGAGCGCACAGCGCATGAATATTGTCCAACATCCGAAGCACGCACCTGCTGTATCTCCAACGTGCCATCCGATTGAATGTTGATTCTTGAGCTGGTCGTCGGGTTGATAATACTGGAACAACCGCAACAAATCATAAACAAATGCAATCTATTTGAATTTAAAAATGGCGGCTTACAGCTTATTGTGATACCAGTCTAATTGGTACGGTACCGAGGGATCCGATGAAACTTTGCACTGCAGCGTTGCGGTGTGCCCCAACAGAACGCGCGTCTCCGCTGGCGGTTGAATAATCTGCGTGCGGACTGCAAACACAAATCATCGTTACCAAACTTAACCTCACTCCAAGCGCGCTGACCTATAATCATGTGGTGGTGGTGAAATGTATGTGAATGTAGAAGAAAGATGTTGGTGTATGTGATTGGTTCGATAAAAAGCAAACGTGAAAACAGTCAAATCGTTAGTGTCACACTCGGCCACATGTTGCATACGCCATTTTGGTAACCATCGGGCCACCATTTTGAGACAATACGTACCCAGGACGCTGATATAGGCCGTACCACCGGCCTGTCCTGCCTCGTTCGCTCTCAAACAGGAATAAACTCCAGCATCAGATTCACGCACGGCGGCGATGAGCAAGTCGCCATTTTCAAGCACCTGCACGCGTCCGGATACCTCCAGCTCGCTTTCTGCAATTAGGGATTAGTTCGATGCAACAAATCAAAAAACAAAAACGAAAGGAAACGCATGCAGCAATGCAATTATTATTGATTTTAGCTAAATTATTAGTGGCAAAGTTTGTATTCAAACAAGTCACTTACGATTGTATTGCCACGCAACGCTTGGTGTCGGTGCTCCGGCAGCTTGACAACTGATAGTTACATCCTTACCATCAAGTACTGTTTGATTATGCGGACCATTTTCCATTATCGGTATAGACGCTGCACATAAATACATACATTAGAAACTAATCATAACAAAGAGAATCATCAGAAAAAACATGCTCAATCAAATTAATTTATAACCTCAAAAATGTTTCATGCGATTCTTGTAAGTGTTCAAAACTGAAAATATCTAAGAAACCACTAATGTCTAGGTGCACTTTGTTTTCCAAACGCTAAACTCATTTTCTTACAAGTAGGGACATTTTGTTTTCTATTTCGTCGTTCGTTCGCGTTGCGCAAGCGCAGAATGTTATTGCGCAGACTTCTCCTATTCAGCAGCCTAATGCGTTCTAATGAAACAAATGGCCGCCATTATATTATATATTTTCATTAAAATTATTAAGTTCTAATGTAAGGTTATGTATGTACTTACTTTTAACCTTGAGCCATGTGGAAATGTAGCTTTCACCAGCCGGATTACGTGCAAAACACTGATACATCCCTGCATCATCAATCGCAAGTCGTTTGATCAACAAATAATTATCCTCTTGGATTTCGTAGCGTCTGTCATTCAAATCTTCGATATTAATCGTGTTTTTGTACCATGTAACCTTCGGTTTGGGTATTCCATCGACATCGCAAGGTAATATAACTTGCGATGCGTACTCCGCCAAAGTTTCCGGTTTCGTACTGCTAGAGAATCTTGGTTTTTCTTGTACCACTACGCTTGCGTTAGCTTTGACAGTTGGGAATCCCCCGGTTTTCAGTGATACATGGCACTCGTAGACGCCGGAATGCGTTAAGTTCGCTGAGATTAACGCGACACTCCTGTGCCAGACATCGTTGTACGTATACTCAATGCCGGAGTTTTCAATCGGCATGCCATCCTTGTACCAAAGTGTTTCTAGTTCATGCAGAGGGCGTGCGTTCGCAATACAGTCCAAAGTAGTTTCGTGTGTGCCCTTGACAATTTCAACATCCTGCGGTTTAATGATGATTTCGGGTGCGATTTCGTTATACGAGTTGGTCTCGAGTACGTCTAGACGAATATAGGCACTGTTTTCCTCTTTGCCTTCCTGGGTGTTCATTGCGCGTGCGCGGTAGGCCTTCGCGTCCGAGATATCCGTCGATAGGATGATGAGTTGGTTAGATTTGGACTTGGCATACTTTTGAGAGTAGAGCAGTGGGCCCTCATCAGTCTGCCAAGTGATTTGCGGCTCTGGAGAGGATTTAATGTAGGGTAAATCGAGGATTGCAGCTTGGCCACCTTCCACTGCAGCGGTGGATTCGGTAGTGTTTTCGAAAACACCCATATCTAACCAAACAATATGAAAAAATCAGTATTTTGTTAATATAAATTAAAAAATTGAACTTACATGCGACTACAACTTTGATTTCTTCACTCATAATGGATCCCACTTTGTTGGCAGCAATGCATCGGTAACTACCTTCATCTTCAAGACGCGTTGAGAATATTTTATAGAATGGTTCCGTGGAGAATTCCGTCAGTGGTTCGCCGTCTTTTATCCATCGGTATTGCGGTTGTGGATAACCTACAAATGAAAAACAACATAACTATCGCCATCTGGTTGTGTCCAGCTGAACTGTTTCATATTTTATTCACGCACTGAAAGAGCTTTAAAGCTGTTGCAGCGTTCCATCTTTGGGTTAGTTAGGCGCACAGGTGCGATGCTTTTATAACTCGATCGACTTTGTTAATCTAATTAAGGTTTCGTTGGTTTATCTAGGTTTATATGCAAGGTGTGACGTCGGCGGCGTCGAAATTGAACCCTCAACAACAACAACAACACCAACAATGACGCTCCCCACAGGTGTGCCAACCGATAGAGTAGTGTGCGATGGGGGCAGAGACGAAGTAGCTGGGTTATCAACCCGAGCGGCTAATGCTCATCTGCTTTCGTTTATTATTAAGACGCGCACGGCGCACGGGCGATTCACGACTCGTAAACTCGACGGCAGCTAATTTGCAATTTCGCAATCTTATCAAGAATTAATTGAAATTTACCTTTGTTGCATCGCGCGAAGACGCGCGGGCGTTAACGCATATTGCGTCTTAAATATTTACAGCCCCAGCGAGCCGCAATTATTCACACTCAACGACAAGATGGCCGACTGGGTGTATGACCCACAAATTCCTGCAATTCGAATGCATCCAGAGAGGTGCATCCGCGTGCGAACGAAATAAATTCGTGGTTCGAGATCTAGTGAATCTTAGAATCTAGAAAATTCCAGAACGTAAGCGGTAAGAGAAACACGTTTTCGAGTAATTTCCATCAATTGCACTTACTCTTACACGTACATTCCATGCATAATAGATTGTGTTCTAGGTTTATCTACAATCGACCTAGTGCGCTAGCGCGCATGCGTACAAGAAAAATAGGCGGAGCTCCCATTACGCAAAACAACATATTTCTTGGTGTTCTTGCATGTTACATGAAATATTAGTCACCAGAGCATTCAGACGGACATCTTTCATGAGCAAATATCAGGTTCAAGTTAATTAGACGCCCTCCCCACGGAAAGAAAACTGATATTTCAGTACTTATTAGGTTTCCTAACCGCACAATTTCGTATTTTTCCTTACAAAAAACTCTTTGTTGATTTTTCAACTTAATTATGTCACCTTAATATAATTATAATTAATTCTGAGACAAGTAGAAGCACAATCTCATTAATACAAATTATTATCGCGATAACGATCATTACCCAGTGGTTTCCTGCGGTTAGGTGTGAGTGGCACTGGAGAGTAACCGAGATTACGATCGACAAAGACAAGATCAAAGCTAATCAACCAAATCCCACTTTACACCTTAAGTCATATTGTTATTAATGATCCATTCATAACCTACAATAACCCTATAGGCTTAACGATCGCTTTTGAGGTTAAAATTCGCACTGGATGAAATTAATGTAGATATTTTCGAGAATTTTGTTGCTGTTGGCATACTTTGGATACAAACAATGAACGCCATAAACAATCCTAAATTAATTACCAACCTTTATACATTGCGCCATTTTAAACATATATCGATACCGGTCATTTGGTCAAGCATCATCATAAAGAGCTTTTGTTGCTTTAACAACGCCGAGGTAATTAATTGAAAATTCCACATTCGCAGTAAATTTTCCGATCGAATGTGGCCAGCAATTCAATTAGATAATAATTTAAACGCACTTAAAGATACTTAGTACTTATTCGGTGTTATCTCAATTTTGTTTCGTTTGTGCTTAATTTCCTGTTGGTTTTTTTCATGGTTTGCCTTAGCACATTGTTAAGAGGTAGTTTAAAGAAAAAGAAGCGCCATAAGCGAGGATAATCGCGGTTGGTGCGGCGCAGCGCCGAAGAATTTACACAATCCAGCCTCGTTTGCTACGCGCCACCAAAGTGTCCCGTTAATAATTAATAACCTGCACGATCGAAAGGCACAGGATGCTGTTTACTCTACTTTCAAACTTCCAAAGCGTTTATCTTCTCGCGAAAAAGAAAAATTTATTTCGTAACATTTTTTTCTCTTATTATGAAAGAAAATAATATTTTTTGATAGAAAAATGCTTTGGAAAGTTTTAAGACGTCCCTGTGTGAAGGGATAAAATATATAGCATGCATTTACACTAAGTGGTGATCATTACTCGTACTCAAATTGTTAATAATTAATTTCGGGAGGTTTTTCAACACTGTACTATAGTTGAAGTGCTGTAACTTGCCACAAATAAACAACGTATGTTTTTATTTAACACAATTATTCAATAAAATGGTTAATTTTTCGTCTTAAAAGTGGTTAACTGACAGTTTCATAGAAAAAAATAATTTTTTTGCTCAAAAAGTTAAATTTTTCAATGCTGGTGAGTGAAAAATGCAATTTTTAGTTGTTTTTACTTACCGAAAGCTTGACATTGCATAATCTTTGTTGTCCCCAGCCGGCTAATGCTGCTCGTCGCCGAGGAAGTCGTAAAACGTGGAGCTTGTAAATTTTCAGCTGAAAAAAGCAAAAACAAAAATT